TTACCCCTTTCCCGATATGACTCAGATTTAGGCTTTGTACTGACCTGACTCTTGTTGACTTGTATGTACCGAGTCATTTTGAGTCATCTTGTATTTACTATATATACTACACCTGTACCTAGTTACAGAAGAATCCTAGCTTGCCTTTGCCTCCGATGTCGTATTCCTTCGCGCCCGCTTTCGTCCTCGCTCTCGCCTCGTCCCTCGTCGTCCGTGCCTCGTTTATTGTCCCTGCCTCCGTTCGCCGCCCTTCCGCCAACCTCTCTAGTCCCCCATTCTATACCGACCCTTATTCTGCCTTTCCCAGCCATTCGAGTACTGAACATGGATTGACCTCCTCGCACTTACTTAGTAGTCTCTCGGCCCTCGGAGTGGCTTGCCTGGTATGTATTTTATCAGCTTCTGCTCTCAGCCGCGCCGTTAGCGTGTCAACGAGCTGTGCCTACGCAGGGTAGGAAGAGGTAGGACAAGGTAGGCCGACTGAAATCAGATGTAGGCATAGCCTAACTACATCCGTAATCCGAGCTACGACAACGTCAATCAAACCTTCGACTACTATGTCTGACTACAGCCGTAGTCAGACATAAGTCGCAGGTAGTCCGAGCTACGACAACGGCGTCAGAGTCTGACTACGGAGGGTCTCAACGCAGTGAATGTTGTGAGCCGCTAACGGATGTCATTCAACTCCCGAGATGTCATCCAGCCTACGAGCAGTTCTCTTCTCTTTGCAGCGTGGAATATACAGTTGCGGCAAGATCATTTGTCTTTCGTTTTTAGTAAATTCCCATCAATTTGCGTTCATTTTCACTAACCACCGGTCCCTGCACGGCTAGCAGCCAATGGAGAAATCTTATGTATCTAATAAGTACTAGAAGATGCCCTCACTGGGCCAAAAACCTGTCTCAGTTCATAAATAAGGGCAGTGAATTGTGCCACTATTGTGCCTCAATGATGCAAAATTCGATTGTTTTAGCCAAAAAAAAAAACTGCTTAGAACATTGATGTATCTGTGTAGCATTAGTAATCCCTTTGCCCTGTGTCTACATGATTGGGCGAGGCCGGCAAGCGGCGGGTCATAAACAGATGGGCGGAATGTTTGGTCTTTTGTTTTTTTTGTAGAACTCTAACACAAAGCTCAACGTTCGCTCGGTCGACGCTTGCGTGCCGACCAGCTCACATTGAGGGATGTTAACTAGATTAAGCGCCCTGAACAGACGCCATCAGATGACAGCTTATATAAGCTGATTGCAGACATTTTTGGTACCCACTAGCACAAAACAGATAAATCTGTTTGTGAACCTCAGAGAACGGCAGAGCCAGTATTGATGGGAATTTCCCAAAAAGGAAAGACAAATGATCTTGCCGCAACTGTAGAGACCCTCAGAGGAGTCAATATGTTCTGACTGCCAATAAGTATCTCCACATATGTCGATTCCGCCAGCATACTGTGACTGAGCCCAGGTCGATGACTCAACGAAGAACTTACGTAGAGCTTTGTTAATATGAAGATTGAGTTTCACAGAATCTGCCATGAATAACGCGTACACACGGTCCAAGTCTTCTACTGCATAGTAAATCTAGATTCGCAGACAGCGGATGCGCTGCATGTCGAACAGCGAGCATGGCCATTGGAGAGCGTGTCGAATTAAACCTCTCTCTATTGTGTATCGGATATCGAAGCCGACAACAAGAGTGTCTATCCGCAACAGATTATACACAGGCAGATCTGGTATGAATTAGTTTCTGAGATCGAAAGCTATTTTCAGTACCCGGGAGAGGTGCGGCATCCTTGAAAATGCGAAAGAGGTTGGAGCCATCATAGAAACGGACATCCGAAGATCGATGCGCTCCACCTGCGGTCTGCTGAGAATGAGAGTCAAGGATTTTTCCAGTGGGGGCAACAGTGTTGTCAATTGGCCCTCAGTTTGGAGGACGAAACTCTTCAAGTTTCCCGGGGATCCCACAAGCGGGATGATGGAGCGGGAGCAGCGTACCCATGGCATTCCAATGGTTGGGTGCCCTATGCTCTCCGTGAGAATCAGAATACGAACATGAAGGGGCAGATTGGGATTTTGGATGCAGAGGTCGACGAATGTGTCAGCGTGTCGGTACAACTTTGTCAAATCGAATGTGGCGATTGTTCGGGTGTGGCCCAGTTGGGGGTCCGAGCTGTACGGTGTGGAATAGATGAATGCGTGTACGAGCGGTCAACGTTCCTGAGGCAAAGCCCGAGAGAGCCAAGTAACCGCGAATAGCCTGCGGTGTAGTCCACTACATGTTCCAAAATCTCGATGGGTAGCTGAGGTGGCATTGAAACAATTGGGGAGAAGTCCGAGGCGAAGAAAGAAGGGAAGTTTTGTGGGTCTTGTCTGACGTGCGACCGGAACAAAAAGTTAGGGATGACCAAGCTCCAAAAAAATGTTCCGTGTCTCGAGCTGGGTTGGAAACCACAAGGCCGACGTCCCGAGCAAATTTAAAATAGCGATTAAACCTTTGCGACTTGAAAACTTCTCCAGGTGGCCTGGGGAGAGGTACAACGAGCTACACAAATAATTCGCTGAGACGTCGAGCATCCCTACGTCCTCTGGGGACGGTGAAGAAATCGAAAATCTTCGGAATTTCATTTCAGAAAAATCAGCATTGGACGCGAAGGTCAAGAAACCGCTTACAAGGATTACTTCGATGTGCCGAACGGCATCATCGTCGTCACCCAGAATTTCAGTGACAAATTATTTTACGTCCCTGGCAAGGCTGGTTCAGATAAAGCAAACCCAGAAAAGACGAACGACAATTCGCTCCAATGAAACTATATCGTTCGGAGCAGTGTAAGTCATTGGGAGGATCGCTGGCAAATCTTCGACACATCCTTCAGCAAGACATAATCAACGACGACACGAACATGATCATTGAACAGGCAATCAACATGAAACCTGCTTTCCTAGTTGTGGACGGATGGACCATGATAATACGAGGCGGGCAAGGGGATGGAATTTTCAAAGCACTATTAGGAACAGATAATGGGCAGGGGGGCATCATATGTTGAGGGATTATCGTGCGAGTATGCCTAGGAAATCGATCCAGGCCATACAAGTTAAGGACGATGACGGTGGCCGAGCGATGATTGTCTACTTTGACTAGTTTATACAGCCCCTTGTAATGCCGGGCGAAGAATCGGATATGTATAGACAGGAAGCGAAAAGTTAGGTAGCCTCGCCAGAGTCCTTTTGAATTGCGGCCGGAATCCAGCATGGCACGAATGCGTGGTGACAGAGATGTAGACAGCTGAGGGGGGTCATTCGCAGGTACAGGAGCATTGGGAGCAGCGGTACGGCGTCCACGCTGTGCACGAGCGGAAAGGGCTTTATGTTTTTCAATGACGCGTTCGGTGGGATGGGTGGTGAAGTGCTTATTGAAGCTTTCCAGCACCGTGTGACGCCGTCTTCATCCGCTCGTCCGCCAGCACGAATGCAATATCCATGAGCGTCCTTGTTTTTGGCCAAGAGAACGCCAACCGGTGTTGGGGTTTTAGACTTTAGTTGCGACGCGCAATTCTTCTCCGAGTCGCTGCGACGCCGAGCCCCATCCGAGCAGAGGGGAGTAGAAGCATCGACTTCACGACGATGTGGCGGCGGTTGCGCACGAGGCCTGAGGCCTAGAGAACAAACCTCACAGCGGCAGCAAGGACAGTGAGGAAGACAGTCATTAGTGACGACCAATTTGGATTGCCGTTTGATTGCCGTCTCACACAGGCACCGCCACGACGACTTGGCCCAGCCTCTTCCAACCGTTGCCTACCTCCTACCTCCCACCCGAGTGCTCTCCTCCCTCTTCTGCGTCATTAAAAATTGCACCGTTGACACGTTCCATCGCCATCAGGCGCAGAAGCGCCGCGTTCCCCGGGGTCCCTCCCTCCTTTAATTCCCAATCTGATTCAATCGCGTCCGTCCGTCTTCCTCCGACGACGACTTCTGATGCACCATCCAGCCCCGCCTTCGCGGCTGATGGTTCGCCGTTGCGCCTCCGTCACGAATCACGGTGCCCATGTCCACGCCCCCACGCTTCTTCGCCCCTTGAAGCTGGTGCCACGTTTCAGGCGCTGTTGGGCCATGGCCAATCGAAGCCCGCCCCTGCGCGCCGGCCCGGTTCACTTCAGAGATCGAGTTACGACAAAAGCCGTACGCGTCTCGTCGGCACTTGTCGGCGTATTTACGTATCCACTGTACAAACGGCGCACGCGCGGCGAACTCCCCCGGCGCAGCCAGGCGTGGCGTGCGGCGCCAACCGTTAATTCAATGATATGATATACTGTAACATCAAAAACTCCCCGCCTCGCGCGCAAACTCTATCGCCACGCGCCCGCCTGGCCGCGTTTGTCGGGATATCGACGTCGGATGTGTGTGTGGAGCACGGCCGGCGGGATACCAACATATACGACATCTCGATCCGTAGGTTACCGAGCATTCAAAAGCGCGCGCTTTCGATTTCGTAATACATACGCTGGCGCATTGATCGGCGTCTTCGCGCCCTGTGCGAATATGTTTTGTCGAGCGACGGCGAGTGCAGCGCAGTGGGATTACGTTGATCTTCGCCTTTATGTTATGTCGGCGTCCTATTTAATATAATAGTGAACTGACACAATCAGGAGACCTGACAAGTGACCAAGTGACCAAAGCGGCATCGCGTCCTTGGTGTAGCGGTAACACACAATCTACTAGTAATACTTTAGCGGATTTAATGAGGTTGGGTCCGGGGTTCGACTCCCCGAGGGCGCATTTTCGTGAAGTCGAGAGAATTTTTTGTTGCTCTCGTTCTTTCGTTCTTTATTTCCTTTTTCCTTCACTGACCCGGCTGAGACTCCCATTCACCATGAGCGTTACTTTTGTCTTTGTCTTTATCTTAAGCTTAAAGTGCCGCTGGCATTCTAAGAGTGAAGTGAGGCAATGAATGACAGGTGATGATGAGTGGACAGAGGACAAGTCAACAGAAGACAGGATGCTGTAGCGTCCTTGGTGTAGCGGTAACACACAATCTACTTCTTTCGAAAGATGGTGTTTTCTAAGATTGGGTCTGGCGTTCGATTCCCCGAGGGTGCATATTATGTATGAGATCTTTTTTGGTCCCTCGTTCTTTTCCTTCAAACTATGACCCCACTCAGACTCATACTTACTTTTACCATGAGCATCGGCCCTGTTACGTTCCTTCTTCAAGTGTATCTTCATCTCAAGCGCTGGCATCGTGAGCAACTCACTCAGAGGCAAGTGGGTAGATCACCAAAGACAAAGAGACAATGAGGAGACCTGACAAGTGAACAGGATGCCAGAATAGTATCGCGCCCTTGATGTAGCGGTAACATACAATCTGTTCATGATTGAAAGCATGCACATTTAAGATTGGGTCCGGGGTTCGACTCCCCGAGAGTGCATAGCCGTGTATGTTTGTACTTTTTTTCTGTCGCTTGGTTTTCCTTCAAGTTTTGACCGCCTTCCCCCCGCAAGATGGCACAAACGCAGTCTTGAATATTTGAAGCAGCTCCACTGCCAGCACAATTCAATTCACAGCAAATGTGGAATCTAAGAGGACAAGTTCTGTGATTCTGAATGATTCAGACACCCAGGAGCTCCATCTATCATTTCAGGATACAGATGCAGTATCGCGTCCTTGGTGTAACGGTAACACACAATCTATTAATCTGTACCACTGTCATAGTATTTAGATTGGGCCTGGGGTTCGACTCCCCGACGGCGCATTATCAAGTTCCAGAAACACCTTTTTTATTGCTCTCGTTCTTTCTTTCTTTTTTCTTTTACTGACCCCGCTGAGACTTCCATTCACCATGAGCGTTACTTTTGTCTTTGTCTTTATCTTGGGCTGGCATTCTAAGAGTGAAGTGAGGCAATGACAGGTGATAAGTGGTCAGAATACAGGATGCTGTAGCGTCCTTGGTGTAGCGGTAACACACAATCTCACGGTCCGATGGTGGTAAAGCTGTAAGATTGGGTCCGGGGTTCGATTTCCCGAGGGTGCATGCTGCTAGGGTCGTATTGTTTCTGTTTTTTTTTTCTTCCTCGCGCGCGATCGTTGTTTATTTTTCTCGGAGCTTTGGTTTGGTTCAAGCTGTGACCCGCCTTCCTCTTGCCACGTTCGTTTCCGCCACATCCCACATCCCACATCCGCAAGATGGCACTCACAAACCGTGACACAGTCTCAATGAATACATTGCAGCACAATTCAATTCAGAGGAAGAGGGACAATATGGAATCTACAGTAGGAGGGCAAGATCTATCATGGGTAGGCTGACGTGGCGTCCTTGGTGTAACGGCAACACACAATCTATTAATCAGTTTCCATCAAAGTATTTGGATTGGGTCCGGGGTTCGACTCCCCGAGGGTTCATTAGAATTTTAAGGATTTGATTTTTCTTACCTCGGTCCTCTATTTTTTGGCCTTCAACTTTTCACCCACCAGTGTTAGTTCTCCCTTCAGGCTCACTCTTGCTTGCCAGACCAACCGGAATTAGAAGAGACACATAACTTTATGCGCATGAGATCTCCATCCATCATTTCGAGGGATATAGCGTCCTTGGTGTAACGGTAACACACATTCACAGCTCGGTTTCCACCAATTCGAATGGTCCGGGGTTCGACTCCCCGAGGACGCCTGTGGTTGAGGGAAATGTTTTTCTCTCTCTGTCTGTCTTCTTTCATTCGAGCGCTGGTACTTGCACTTGAATTATTATTACTTTTAACACGCAATCTCCTTTTGGTGTTTGAATATATTCTGAATTGGGTCCGGGGTTCGACTTCCCGAGGGTGCATGCTGCTAGGGTCGTATTGTTTCTGTTTTTTTTTCTTCCTCGCGCGCGATCGTTGTTTATTTTTCTCGGAGCTTTAGTTTGGTTCAAGCTGTGACCCGCCTTCCTCTTGCCACGTCCGTTTCCGCCACATCCCACATCCGCAAGATGGCACGCACAAACCGTGACACAGTCTCAATGAATATATTGCCAGCACAATTCAATTCACAGGAAGAAGGACAATATGGAATCTACAGTAGGAGGGCAAGATCTATCATGGGTAGGCTGACGTGGCGTCCTTGCTGTAATAGTAACACACAATCTATTAATTGCAGATTAGGAGATTTTAGATTAAGTCTGGGGTTCGACTCCCCGAGGGCGCATTCGAAATTCGAGAATCTATTTTTTCTTCCTCGTTCTTTTCCTTCAAGCTGTGACGAGACCGAGCCTTCCCCTTGCCATGCCCAGCTTCATTTGTACCAGTGCCAGCGAGGAACATAGCACAAATGAACACCCATGCAAGATGCAAGATGTGGAATTGAGAAGATGATTATACATCAATTTACACTTTGATATCGCGTCCTTGGTGTAACGGTAACACACATTCACAGCTCGGTTTCCACCAATTCGAATGGTCCGGGGTTCGACTCCCCGAGGACGCCTATTGATGTCCCAGGTTTTTTTATTTCTTTCTCTCTTCTTTCTTTCGAGCAGACTTGGTTTATTTTTTTTGGCCGGCCTCCCGTTTGCGGGTTTGTGTTCTAACCTCAGTGAACCTTTTTGTCTGCACCAATCCTTTTGATGATCTGTACCCGTGATTGAAGGTCTGATATTTACCCTTAAATGGTGTGGCGGTAACACACAATCTCCTTTGATGCTTGAATATATTTTGAATTGGGTCCGGGTTTGACTCCCGAGGGCGCATCTGTTGGATTATCATATTTTTTCTTCCTTCTTTCGGGCACAGTTCGAATGCGAAATTTGAGCAGCAGACATCTGTTTCCATCAGTTCGCACCGTTGATGCAGCGTCCTTGGTGTAACGGTAACACATAAGTCCTTTTGGACTGGTCCGGGGTTCGACTCCCGAGGGCGCCTCGTTTGGCAGCCTTTTTTTTTTTTCATTTCTCTGCCTAGACTCTGCCTAGACTCGAGCTCAGGCTTCCCTCCGCCCAGCCATTGCTTGCTTCACCTGTGTTGGGACAATTTACGTCAATTCAATTCGGACCTTCACGGCGTTTCTCGGGACAATGCAAAATTTAGGCAGAGAAGACAACCATCATTCAACCATCATTTCAAATAACTGATGTAGCGTCCTTGGTGTAACGGTACACACAGTCGATGAACACTTGATTGGTCCGGGGTTCGACTCCTCGAGGATGCCTGACAATTTC